GTAGTAGTAGTGGTTGCTGGTAGTGGAGGTGGTGGTGGTGGTAGTCAGGACGTCCGTCGTTATCGATTGAACATTGTTTTCTACTTTGGAGCTTTTATTAGTTTGCCTTGAGATAGGAGAGGGAAATAAATAGAGTAGACCACTGAATAACGTTGAATAATTAATCGGAAAAGAAAGAAGCTTGTGCTTGCTTGGAGGGGTTCTCTTTTTTTCTCTTTTTTCTTTTTCTTTTTCTTTTTTTTCTTTTTTTTTTTTTTTACTTTTTCTTTTTTCTTATTCTTTTTTTTTCTTTCTCTCTCTCTCTCTCTCTGTCTATCTCTATCTATCTCCTTCTATTTCTGTGTGTGTTTTAAATTCTCAACTTAAAAGCGGCAATCTATTTGAGAATTGAAAAGGATTTAATTATGTTCGTATTATACAAAACTTTTCCTCATCATATATATTCTTATATGTACGTATATAAGAATATAGTAATACATAAATAAAACGTTTAATGCATATAATATAATTTCTTAATCTATCTATAGTCGAGCTTTAACTATGCGTTAGAGGCGAGTGTGTTCATTCGTCTATTCCTCGTCATCTACGATTTTAATAGGTAATAGGTAAACTAGGTAAATTCGCAAAGCTCTATTGGAACATATGTATACATAGGTGTATACTAACACAACATGGTTATAGTGTAACCATCATCGTCGCATCACCCGTAGTTACTCGGGATATGTATTTGAATACGATCTGAAATGTACTCATTTACCTTTACGCTTATCAATAAGCTATAATGTAGCATTCGAAACGTGTATAACCGAACCAAGTTTATCTTCCATCATCGTTAACTATTATATCACGTATTCATCAAATTCACCAAATTTTTTATGATCGATCGATCGATCCTTCGTTCGTTCGTTCGTTCGTTCGTTCGTTAATTAGTTCGATCGTTCGATCCATCAAAGTTCAATATGTAACATAAATACGTATATTAATTTTATCGAAAAGTTTTACTGGAATATCCTGTTTGACAAAAAAAAAAATATATATATATATATATTTTTTTATATATTACGACATTATTAATATTTCATTGGCAATGTAATCTTCTATAAATTCATTCATTCATTCATTCATTCATTCATTCATTTATTCATTTTTCTCGTTCATGAAGGCTAAAAGTCTCATCCATTACTTTTAACTTTTTGATGAATCTGTTAATATACACACACATACATCTTTTCATTTTTATTTTTAATACATACACATATCTAAGTGAATATCGATTAGACGAGTTTACTTGCCTTTCATATTTCCCCTCCCGAAAAATATGCAGTTTGTTGTCTAGCTTTTGCATAGCTCATCGTAGCATAGAAAGCGTGTTACGTGAGAGAGATAGAGATAGAGAGATATGATACGTTGCGTTTACGCTTACGCGTACGCGTTGGATTCCTACGGGATTGGAACGAAGTTATGCCCGTCGGCATTGTTGTCGTTCCTCCTGTGTTCCTCCTGTGTGTTCCACGAGATAACATTCCTATGGAACGTGGCCACCACATCGACACCACCATCATCACCACCATCACCACTGCGACCACCATCACCACTACGATCACCACCATCATCACATCGCCGTCGTCGTCATCGTCATCGTCATCGTCATCGTCGTCGTCGTCGTCATCGTCGTCGTCAACGTCGTCGTCGTCGTCGTCATGTACCGATTATTAGAAAGAGAGAGAGATGGGGATAGAGAGAGGATGAGAGAAAGAGATAGAAAACGAACAGAAATGTATGAAATGCCCAGAGTCGAAGGTACTATCGACAGATATATAGTCATATTCTCTCTCATAACTCCAAACTCAGCAGAAGGCTTTACGAGCCTTCGATTTTCCCAAAATTCCCCGATCGAATTCCTCAAACGGTACTTTCTGCTAATCCCGCCATGGCTAACGAGCCAAGCTGAGTTTGATAGTTAGTCCGATCATGCATACATACATACAT